TTATTATATTATTAAATGGTCAGGGTTAGGCTATAAAATTTCCAAAAAAATGAATGGAAGTCAATGGAAAGTCTGTTTTTTTTGTTTTCGTCAGTTTAATCAGATTTAGGGACAATGTTGCTTCATGAAAACAGTTTAGAAATAAAACAATAAGTCTGGTGTCTTCTTTCATATTTATAATTTCTCTGTGTTTAGATTCTCAGCCTCCTGTTTTTACAGGAAATASAAGAAAACTTAAACTCCTCCGTCCTTCAAGAAGCTTTCAGTCGTGGAGCAAATTGTTCTTTCATGAAGATAAAAACTTTATCTTTGTTTTTGTTTTTTGTATCAAAACAGTTTGTTTATCAGGTTTTATCAGGTAGTTTTTCTTTTCTGTATTGTCAGATTTTATGAACATATAGTTTAAAAAAAGCCACTATTCTGAATAAATAAGAGAATAATTCTTTAGTTTTGTTGTATTTCATTGAACTTCTTTGTGTTGAAACAAACTTGTATCCTGTTTTCAGGCTGAATCAGCTTTTTCAGCTCGTATATCTTTAATAAACCAGATTATTTAAAAACACGACTCCAGACCACAAATACACAACTGTAGTACATTTATAAATAATTCATTATCTGCTAAAACTCCAGAGTCAACAGGCTGTTTTTACACTTATAGTTTAGTTAAAGCTTTGATGTTATTGTACCAATTATTACTTCTTTGTTGCTCTTTATGAAGTAACATTAGGAGCAGATAACGTTGATGCTAGTTAGTAGGCTCTATAATAACCAGATGCTAAGTCATGCTAACATTTGTTTCTAAACAGCGTCACTTTTAAAAGAAAGACAGATGTTACTTCAGTGACTTGTTAACACAGTGGTAAACTTTCAAACTGGGACATGTTGTGTAACATTAGAAATAAGTTCAGTTGAATAATTTAGAAAACCAAACTGGACAGAAAACAAAATTAAAACTCAAACTAATCCTAGACACCACAGCAGGACAAATGAAACTAAGAGTTAAAGCTAAATAACCACAGTGATGAACTCAAACTGTTGTTTGATTAGCAGGGTTGTGTGTTTTTGCAGAGTGGGCCTTTGTGGCAGCTGTGGTTCTTGGGAGTGTTTTGTTCCTGCTGTTGGTGGGGGTCTGCTGGTGTCAGTGTTGTCCCCACTCCTGCTGCTGCTACGTCAGCTGCTGGTGCTGCCCCGACAYGTGCTGCTGCCCCCGACACCGTGAGTACAAACACCAAACGCTGGGTAAGAACCAGCCTTTTAGATGCTCCTAAATCAACTTGTGCTTTTTGTTTTCAGTGTACGAGGCAGGTAAGGGTATAAAGACCGGCAGCTCCACTCCTCAGTCTCCAACCTACCCCCCGTACTTTGTTTCTGGACTTCCTGCCATGGTCCCCATAGCTCCACCGTCTCTGGTGGACAAGGTCTCTACTGTCCCACCCTCAGACGGCAGCCTGATCGCAGCAGGTCAGGTTTAACTTTTATCTTTTAATTCAATAGATGAATTAAACGATAGGTAGATTATGCAAATAAAATATACAATGTTTGGGAGTGAAGTCTACATTATACCAAAATCAGATACGATGATCTATAAGCGATTCTTTTTGTTGTTGCATATGTTTAAGAGTTTTAGATCAGTGGGTCCCAGACTTTTCTTCACTTTGACCCACAAATAGGACCTGCAGAGACTCAACCCTGACTGTTGCTGATGTATACAAACTTATAATAATGCATTTATCAAAGGTTTATGACAAACGTCTTTAATTTAATGTAATGATACAGTTAATGTACTAAAGGCACTCATTCTTCTAGTTAACTTGATTTCTGTAGTTCTTTACAAGGCCTTCTGTTTGGTGTTCATGACCCTATGGATGGATGGATGGGTTGGTAGATGGATGGAGGATGGATGGATGGATGGATGGATGGATGGATGGATGGATGGATGGATGGATGGATGGATGAGTTGGTAGATAAATTTTGTTTCTAGTTGGATTGATGAATTGGTAGATGGATGGATGTGGAAGGAATCATGTACAATGAGACTCAGAATCAGGTGCAGTAATCCGGTCCAGTTCTCAGCTCTGAATGTTTTTGTAAAGATCATCACAGCGCTGTGGTCCATCCTGTCCCAGGGGACAAAAAATGGCCTCGGTTATGTGTCACAGCAACGGTTTTATAGTGAACCTGGTCACACCCCAGATATGATGTCATACCCCTAAAACAAGGAAAAGTTTTTAGAAACAAACAGTAAAACTAAACAGACTTTTTGATTCTCTGTTTTAAAGTGAAGGACTGCGTTCAATCACAAAGTATCTGATATGAGACTGTTTCTAAAATTCAGTTAATTAACTACAAAATATCAATCATAAAGATGGATGGTCAATAAAAGATTAATATAGAGGAATAAAGTAGAATTGGATGGATGGATGGATGGATGGATGGATGGATGGATGTCTGATGACATCACTGACAGTATGATTGTTCCAGTATCTCCAGTTCCCATGCCTGCTGTGTACTGCGTACCTCCACCACAGGACCACAACTCTCTCAGGGTTCTGCAGTACATAGAGAAACAGCTGGCTGACTTCAACCCATCTAGACCCATCAGCCAAAAGTGTAAGCTTCACCAACCCTGCAGGGCTACTCCTGCAGAGTGCTGGTTCTGTCTGCATGCTCTGGTTCTGTCTGCAGAGTGCTGGTTCTGTCTGCATGCTCTGGTTCTGTCTGCAGAGTGCTGGTTCTGTCTGCATGCTCTGGTTCTGTCTGCAGAGTGCTGGTTC